ACAAAAAGATTTAAAAGTAAAATGATACTAAATTTGGCTCAATTACAATTTGGGAATTCGGAAATTTAGAAGTAACATTACTATTTCAATTTAGGACTGAGGAATGTAGGCATGTGCACTAGATCGTACTAAATTTGGTACAATTTAAATTTTGGCTGAACCGGTTTGAATGTAGATAGTTTTTGAAATTTTTACTTATATATACTAAAATGTACTAAATGAAGTACATTTTGTATTTGGGCGAACCTACAGGGTGGAATCTTAACATTTTGAATTGGGATTGCAGAGGTTGGACCTGCAAATTTTATTAACATTAATGGCGCAGTGTGGGATTGGGGTATGTAGGGGGCTTTTGTATTTATGTGAACGGAAAGTACTAAATGAGTCTAAATTTGGTACATCGTACTTATGTGTCCTAAATGGTACTAAATTTGGTACAATTTAAATTTTAGGTGAACTGGTACCGTTGGTACCCTGAAATTTGAAAATAACATTTCTATTGGACTGTATGATGTAGGTAGTTATGAATATTTATACTTAAGTGTACTTAATGGTACTAATTTTTGGTACAATTCGGTGCAAGATGATCCAATAGAGCTTGTATCCTGAAAGTTGGAAATAAGATTACTGTCGAAGTGTAAGATTGGGATATGTATGTAGTTTTTGAATTTTGTACCTATTTGTACTAAAATGTACCAAATAAAATAAAATCTACATTTGAACGCTACAACGGTACAAATTTGGTACAAATTGGAATTGTGATGAACCGATGGAGGTAGAATTCTGTAATTTGGAATGATAGTCACTGATAGAGTGGAGGATAGATGCAAAAAAGGGTTATTGAAAATTCTAACTTTAAATTTTGAAAATGTTCTAAAATCCCATTGTATTATTTGAACGAACTTGAAATTTTGTATGAGAATTAAAGTTGGAAATTAAGTTTGATATATGAAGGGAGTTTTGGAAATGTGTACTTAGTGAGGGAACTGTATTAAATGGTACTAAATTTCGAACAGTGAATAGTGAACGGATATGGGTGGAACTTTGAAATTTTGTATTAGAGTCCATGTTGGTGGTTAGTTTGTGATAAAGAGGAGATTTCGAAGTGGGTACTACAAATTTACGAAGAGTATAAAATAGTACTATGTTTGGTACAAATTGGTTTTGGGTGAATAGATAGTGCTTGAAATCTCAAATTTGGTATTAGGGCCGCTATTCATGTGTAGCATTGACATATAGAGGTGATCTTGAAATCTGTACTATAGTTGTACGAAAAGTACTGAATGGTACAACATTTGGTATTGGTTGAAGGAATAGAGATAAAAATCTTACATTTTATATTTAGATTACTGTTAGTATTTGTGTTTGAGATTTGGCGATAACTGGGAAATTCGTCCTAAATTATACGAAAAATACTATATGGTACTAAATTTGGTATTTGGTGAAGGGGTAGGAGAGGAATATCTAAGTATGATATTGATAACTGTGTTGCTATCCGGATTGGGATGGTGGATTTGGAAATGTGTACTAACATTTTACTAAAAATACTAAGAAAAATGGGGTATTGGGTGAAGGAATAGAGCTCAAATTCGAAATTTTGAATGGAAGTCATTGTTGGCGTTTTATATTTCTACGAAAAAGTACTAAATGGTACTAAATGCTGTATTGGTTGAAAGGATAGGTCGGAAATCCTCAAATTTGATATTAATATATCTGTTGTTGTCTGGAATTGAGATATGAAAATTGTTTTGAAAATGTGTACCATAATTGTACAATAAGTACTGAATGGTGCTATGTTTGGTATTGAGTGAATCTATAGAGCTGGAATCCAGAAATATTTCTTGGTATCTGGTGTTGAGATATGGAGATGGTTTTGGAAATATATACTATAATTGTACTAAATGGCACAAAATGTGGCAACAAGGGAAAGTAGGGAGCTGATATAATGAAATATTATATTAAGCTCACTGTTGGTATCTGAGGTTGAAATATGGAGATTATTTTGAAAATGTGTACTATAATTTTTCGAAAAGTACTAAATTTGGTATTGGGAGAAGGGATAGGGTTGGAATCATCAAATTTGATATTGAGATATCTTTTGGTATCTGAGATTGAGATATGAAGGTAGTTGTGGAAATATGTACTGTAATTGTACGAAAAGTACTAAGTGCTACAATATTGGGTATTGGGTAAAGGGATACAGTTGGAATCCCAGAATTTGATATTGAGATCTCTGTTTGTATCTGAGATTAAAATATGCAGGTGGTTGTGGAAATACGTACTATAATAGTACGAAAAGTACTAAATGGTACAATATTGGGTGAAGGGATTAGTTTGGAATCCACAAATTTTATATTGAGAAAAATTTCAATAGAATCCCGTAGAAAAATACCTCTCAAATGAAAACCTTTATATGGGGGCTATACGAACACGAACTCTCCGAACTCTAAATACGAAATTTGAAATAATTTCGCTGAATAATGTCGCTAAAATCATGAAAATACCGAATATCTGGATGTAACGTTATTGGGATGCTATACTAAACGTAGGACCATATAGTCAATTCCTTTCTAGGGGGTTAAGTATTCAGAAGGAACTCCTTGTGTGGATTTCAGACCATTCCATTAACAAGTTTGGCTACAATTATTAAAATGCCGATTATCGGGAGACGCCCTTATATAGGGGATGTACGATATCGCGAACCTATATAGAGAATTCTCTTCCAGGGGTTATTGTACTCACAGAGAAATTCTTGTGTAGAATTTAAAAAAATCAATTGAAACCAGTAAAGAAAGTCCTAAAGTCGGGCGGGGCCGATTTTATGATACCCTACACCACTTTGCTAATTTAGTTTGAGCTCCACATAACAAGTAAAAGTTTTTATGGAAGAATTCAATCATACACCCTATGATTATAATTATAATTTAAAATTTAAAGGACTAAATACGCCGAAGCATTTGTATCTTTTAAATTCGGACTTGTATTGCCCATTTGGTGCAAAATTAATTCTAAATCAGATAAAGATATATATGGGAGCTAAATCCAAATCTGAATCGATCTCGATAAAATTTGGCAAAGATATTCTGAGCTGTATTTGATATATTTCCCTGAATATCGTTGTTACGGATTGCATATTACGGCTGTGGGTAGCAAATACAACAAATCGGATGAACAATATATATGGGAGCTATAGCTATATCTGAACCGATCTTCCCCAAATTTTGCATACTACCTTCTAGACTCAATTCGGTCGTATGTGCCAAATTCCATCCCATTTGGGCAAATATTAGACGTTTGGTGCACAATAAAAGATAAATCGGACGAAGTTATATATGGGAGCTATATCCAAATCTGAACCGATCTCCATCAAATTTGGCATGCTTATTTTTAGGCCTAATTTGGTTGCATGTGCAAAATTCCATACTATTCGGGCTGATATTACACGTTTGGTGCACAATAAAAGGCAAATCGGACGAAGATATATATGGGAGCTATATCTAAATTTTTACCGATTATCTCCAATTTCAATAGGATTCGTCCTTGGGCCAAACAAATGTTGTTTGGAAAATTTCATCTCAATCGGATAATAAATGCGACCTGCATTTTGTTCACAAAAATACATGGACAGACGGACGGACGGACGGACTGACATGCATAAATCAACTCAGAAAGTGATTCTATGCAGATCATCAAAAGGAACTATGGGTCTATCTCGTTCCTTTTGCCTGTTACAAACAAATGCACAAAGACATAATACCCTGACCACCTTGTGGTGTAGGGTATAAAAAATGTGGTTAAAATCATCAAAATACCGAATAAAGAGAGGTACCGCTCTATGAGGGCTATAGACAATACTCTTTTAGGGGGTAAAGTACTCAAAAGGAACTTCTTTTGTGGATTTTCAGATAATTTTATTGAACAGTTTGGCTGCAATCATCAAAATACCGAATTTCAGGGATACCGTTATACGGGTTATATGATATCATGGACCGATGTAGCCCATCTTGACCGAACTAGACCTGCCTGCAGACAAAAGACTGAGATCTGCGTAAAATTTTAGCTTACTATCTTAATTCGTTTTGGCGTGATTACAACAGATGGACAGACGGACGGATGGACGGACGGACATGCATAAATCGACTCAGAATGTGATTCTATGCAGATCATCAAAAGGAACTATGGGTCTATCTCGTTTCCTTCTGCCTGTTACAAACAAATGCACAAAGACATAATACCCTGACCACCTTGTGGTGTAGGGTATAAAAATCACCCAACCCTTTCCTTTAAAGTACACCTGAACATGCACTTACGTATATTTTGATAACAAAAAAAAAAAAATTCACATTCTACTACCATTGTTGAATAAACAAACACGACAGCATCATATTTACTTCGTAAACAGGCCTTTTCATGCCAAATAAGCAAAAAAGCCACCAACAACAAAAACAAACCAGAAACCCACAAAAAAATGGAAATGCATATTCCAATATGGAAAAATATGAACAATTCATTTTGTGACACATCAGCATTTTTGCAACATTCCGGCCACTTACATCACTCCTTACACTGCAGCCACCTGTTATTATTTTGATTCAACCACCGAAAAACAACAAAATACGAAAACAAAATGTCGGGATGGAGGGTGTTTTTTCTGAGGACTCCCATTTTTTATGAAGCTGACAATAAAGGTAACAACAATGCCAGATGGATGGTTGCGTCTGCATTCTTTTCATGAAGTGAATGTGGTGCGGCTGATGCTGGTCATCAAGCCCTTAAATTATGCATATTTTATACATTTTGTGAAGTTGCACACACACACCAGGCACATGGATTTACAACTACACACATACACACCAGTGCCACATTTGTTATTCAAATAATAAAGTTATGCAATATTAGCCTTGTTGATTTTTTTTCAGAGGGAGAGTCAAATTGATGCTCTTCCGGCTGGAAGGTTGTTCATGCAAAGGATTATATTTTGGGAGCATGGAACACCTTACCTGGTTGCCATCTTATGGTTATGGATGTCTCCGTGCTATTGGCTGTCAAATTATAGGGTGGTCTGGGGGCAATATTTTCTATCATCAACTCGGTTTCGGCGGTTATTGTGGCAGCTTCATTTGTGGCCACACATTCGTAAATTCCACGATCCTGTTCAATTAGACCGGTTAATGTTAGATTTCCATCCTCGACAATAGCTCGATCGGCCGGAAGGGGCATGCCATCTTCTCTGTAATGGAAATATTATTATTATTATTATTTGAAATATTCCAATATAGATTACAAATGTTTGAATCAGAAAAAAAATAAATCCATAATTTTTTATACCCTCCACCATAGTATGGAGGGTATATTAAGTTTGTCATTCCACGAAA